AAAATAAGACCAAAAAAAAAAAAAAAAAAAAAAAACGACAGGAAAGGAGAAAGATCAAAACCATGCAGATTTTGGAGCTAGAACTGGGGAGGAATAAGAAACACCAAGAAACTTGGTTAATCAATATCTTTATTTTATAGAAAGTAGTTTGATCAGTGTGCTGAACCTGCCATTAGAGTTGGTTTTGCTATTTTTAGTAAAAATAAACATCTGAAAAAATTACCTTGGAGAACATATAGTCTCCAAGCTTATTTCTTTTTAATCACTGTTGCGCTCCCCCTGCCATTAGAGTTGGTTTTGCTATTTTTAGTAAAAATAAACATCTGAAAAAATTACCTTGGAGAACATATAGTCTCCAAGCTTATTTCTTTTTAATCACTGTTGCTTTTTTCATACCTATTGCAACTAATCTAACACTGGGTGCTCTTAAGAGGAAGGGAGTGGTACCTAATGCACGATATCTCAACAGTTTATTTCCTGTAACTGGTAGCAAGGTTCCTAAAACGCAGAACATTATACGTATAAGCTCACCTTGTGCCACAGCAGTGTGGTACAAAATCTGCATCTATTCCACTCTCCATCTTTCTCCATAAACATCCTGCAACATCAGCTGTCAGCTGAGAATTTGCTGGTTAAAAGTCACACAGCAAGCCAGTTTAAGTACCCAGATGGCCAGTTTTAACTCTCACAAGTTACTAAAGTAATAGTAAAGAACTCAGATCGTGTATCGGTTTGAGGTAACTGAATCACAAGAATGACACACTCCGATTGCATTGTGTATTGCTACATAGACAAACACAAGTCACAACTGCTAGTCTATGATATTTAGAAGGGACATTATCAACTACAAGCTAAGTTATTTTGTCTGGGTGCAGAATTATTGATTAAGCACTGGCAAATACAAATTTTAAGTTCAGTTTGTGCACGTGGCTACTTCAAGCACAGAACGCTGGGTAGCCACTATTACCCTTCTGTTTGAGTAACTTGCATAGCAACAGGAAGAAAGCATTAACTGCTGGAGGACAAAATTCAGTGGAAGTTATTAAGGGCAACAGCTGGAAGAGTTCTGAGTTCAGTTTTTCCCCAATGACTAGATTTAAAAGTTGAGAGTGTCCCTTTAAAAGTTTCAGATACAACAGAAGTTAACTCATTTTGATTCCATCATTACAAGAAAGCTATGGATAATTTGACTTACAATAATTGTTAAACATCAATGAACATTATACAAGCAAACAACTGATTTGTAAATGAAGTAGCAGCAACATGGAATTGTAGAAGGTTGAGTTTCTGCAGGATTTATTGTAAAGATTATGAAGGTGTGGCAAATACATTGTGATTTTACATAATTTAGTTTTGAGAGTAGCTTATGGTAACTATAAACATTATTGAAAATGCCTGCTCACAGTCAGTACTGTTCTGGTAAAAGCGTAAGTTTGCCAGGATTATTCATAGTGCAGCTCTACTCAGAAAAATGACAACATTGTATGTCTTGGCAAATTACATACAAAATCTGCTCAGTTTGCAGATGATAAGACAGCTTTTCATGATTGCCAGTACAATAAACTGAGCTTGAAATATTAAAGCTAATGAGATACCAATATTTAATGACAAAACATCAAGAACATCATTATATAATGTTGCCATGATTTTTGCACATTTTTCCTTTTCTGAACGAAATTGTGTTAGTTCAGTGGATGCATAAAACTAATGCATGTATTTAAGCAGCTACAAAGTCAGGGTTTCAGTTGATTCTCAAGGAGTGTGCTACTGTTAACTCCATTGTTTTCCTTCTTTTTCATGAGAATAAGGAATATTAGAAACTCAGTCACTGAGCAGATGACAGACGCATTGGGCAAGTCTGTTTTGTAAGGTGGTGTCACTTTTAGTCAGTCACTTTTCTGGTCCATCACTGTACTTAAACTGTTTTGATATCAATTTTGATTCCAATCTATAAGTGTTGTGGAAGAACAATTACAATTGAATCACTGAACAGCTGTACCAGTCTGAAATGCTGTCACATGTTTCTTCATGGCAAAATATTCACATTCTTTTTATTGCACAATTTGAAAATTCAGGTTATGTGCATAAAAACCTTCATAGTGTTTGCACTGCAACTTGCGAAACATACATTTAAAATGACCTTAATTTTACAAAATCTTTTTAAACAATTTTATATTCTTAAGATAAAAGCATCCTGAGAATGTTACAAAGTTCATTTTACAAGCCCTTCATTTCTGCTATGCTTTATGTATCCCCATAGTTCCTAATTTGACAAGTTTATTTTACAGTTAATATCTTGGTGCTATATTTCACAAAATATCTTTTAGCAAAAAGTACACCATTGGCATTCAAGTAATCCAGCCTCACATCTAATTTACAAATTAAACCTTTGTCAAGCTCTCAAGTCAGAAAAAATAAATCAGAACACTTACAGAAACAGTTTTTAGCTGACTAAAAAAAAACGTAAAGGCTTTCTGCATTAATAATTTGGTCAAACATTAAGTTATGCAGTTTAATATTTTGGCAAAAAAAAAAATCCATCTATCCTTTTCAAAATTTTTTTCTTTCATTTTACACCAGATGTAAACATAAGTACAAAGACTGACAGTATTAAAGTACTTTGCTGTTGAACTTTTTTCCTTTTTCCTTTTTTAAGGTACTTAGGAAAAGCAGACAAACAAGAACATAAGTGCTAAGAATGAACTGAGTATCTTTGGGCTAAATAAAAGTCTTACTGGAAAAAATGTAAAAATAAATTAGTTTTTTTTTCCTCTACAGACATGTAAATAAATATTCTTTGAAGAAATTCTAGTGCCATATCCTAAAGCAGTATCTTCCTGTTTCTTTTTGATCAAGACGAAAGTTTCACACATAATCTTGACTATTTTACTAGGAAGATATCCATTAATATTTACATATTTTTGTAAAGGGAGTGTTCAGGGTTAAAAATATATTTCTTTTTAAAAGGTAAGCCTGCCATCCTGATGGCAGCGATTCAAGCTATAGAACAGAAGACAAGTTACAGAACATCCTTCAGTTTCTTATACCCTAGGTCAGAGGAAGGAGATCAGGCAAGTTAGAGAGGTAAACAGCCTGGATTCCAGGAATGGAGACAGACAGTGGCTTATTATATGAGTGCTTGCATGGGCAGGAGGCTCATACAGGCTTTGTTTCTCTTCTACACATAGGTATCAATTTTTATAGTTGAGAAGAGAGACAGTTATGGTTGCCACAGTGAAAGAGTAACATTATTTAAGGTTTCCATCTGGACGGACCTGATCTTAGAAGGCGGCCAGATGTTGAATATAAGCAGAGGCCATGTCCAGATGGTACACTCCAGGTGGGAGCACAACTACCTCAAAAGGAAGAGTAAACCACTTCAGCAACATCTTAATAATGTTATAAGTATATAATATGGAGTAATGTACAGCTATTGTTTTAGGCAATGATCAAAATCTGAAGGACCTTGTTAAAATCTTTAAGGCATCAGTGCATCAGGGACTAAAAGCTCCAGGTAATAAATATTGAGGTGGGGCGGGGTACGGCATGGGACAGCAGGAAAAAAAAAGAAACCCAAACATCCTTGTGGCACAAGCTATCATTGTGTATCTGCTTTGTTGGCTAGTTCCAGGAAAAATATTTTTAGGGATGGCAGAAGGGGAATATTATACACTGTTCTGAGAAAAATATTAGATCATAAATTTCACATCATTTTTTAACACATCATTTAAAGGGCTGAATCTATCGGGCAAGATTCTCATCTTTACTGTTCCATCAGCACCACAGGAGAATATGTGATTTGCTGGTCCTGTCTCAATTTGCATGACTCCCGTCCCAATGTTTCTGAAGAGAGACTGTCGAGCATGCTCATTGATGAAAGTGTGAAGAAGATTAAACGTAGACAGACTCCATACCTGAAAAAGCATCAAAACACCAATCTCTTATAAGGGTAATTACCATGATCTTAAAATTCACCAGTAATGAGTCATGGAGAAATTGGACTATATTTTGCATTCATTTTCTGACACTAACTGTAAAAGAAAAGCTATGTAACAATCTGTAATGACACAGTTATAGAACATTAATATTTATTTTCTATAATAAGGAATATATAGAGGGACTAACGCAAGACTAACTAAAAGGAGGACTGCAAGGTAAGAATAGCATTTCTTAATTAAATTAGTAAATGTGAAAGTCAGGGTTGAGAACAAATGCAGAACGTATGACATATCTAATTATTCCACACCTATGCAAGATTCTTTTTGAATTTACACATCACCACCATCTTCATCTCTCTGCTCCCTCCCCCTCATTAATACCTTTATGTTGCCTTCAGCAGATCCTGTGACAAAATACTCTTCTGTAGGATCAACAGCAATTGCTTTGACTGGAGAATCATGACTCTGGAGTAACTGTTGCTGCTGTTTTTGGCGAAGATCAATTATACATGTAAAGCCTTTTCTGCCTCCAGATAACAACAGCTGATGTTTTGGAGCGTATGCTAGCACAGTTGCTCCACTATCATGACAGATAAAAGCTGAAAGCCAAAGCAAAGTAGTTTAAATAAACACATAGTACCAACTTCAATTTTACAGTAGTAACTTTAATTTTCCATTAACCTCTAATGGTTCAAGACAGTAGCAACAGTGACTTTGATGCTGTAATCCAATTGACCACAACCATTTACTGCAGTACCATACATATGTAAACCCAAGTTCACATCAGGCATCCTGAAGTTGCAGTATTCTTAAATTAAGCAGTTACTATCTGTATGAAAAAAAAAATTATATCCTTCTGTCTATTCCTGTGTGATCACAAACTATTAAGCCTTGACCAGAAACAGATTCCTTTCAGACTCTCTAATGCTTGCTATTTTAAGGCATATGTTTCCCATAAGAAATGTCCTCCTAAATTACTTACCCAAATATCTTGTAAGTTTCCATTGGTTGTTTTACTTTTAATTTGCTGCTTTTCACATTTGTGTGGATATGTCTACTCCCCCAAATGAGTGGGGGAAGTGAAAGAAGATTACAATTACCAGAACAAAGCTCAGTATGTTTGAGACTAGACGCTATGAATCCTAACACGTGGCATGTAGTATATTGTACTTGTAGTTCAAAGGGCTCTCTAAATTTACTTCTAGAAATTTGACACGTCTCACACATACACTTAAGCATTCACCACATTTTAATTACAAGGAGCTCTCTCTGAGCCTAATTCTGTATTTCAGACATTGAAATATATTTCTTTCCACTGCAACAAAATATTAGTAATAAAGTTAATGAAACCCCGCGAAGTACTTATTACATTTCAGAAAGCATACTTATAGGAATAATTCTTCTTAAGCATTTTTGTGATACTGTGTGTAGATAATCTATACACACACACAGAGAAATAATTTAAAACATTCCACGATATTTGGCATAATACATAGAAGTGTCATAGAACTGGACAATCTTTGAAAGCAAAAATGCACTACTTTACAAATATAGCAGTAAGTTCATCTTTTAGTTCAACTCTGAAAATTACTATATAATTATGAGATCTTATTTGTGCATCTCTTTGTTCAATATATTCATAAAAAAACAATTAATATATTCTAGAAAACTTGGTGCGTTTATTCATATACATACCTTCAGAGAACAGTTTTATAATTGCGGCTTCTCTGAGGATAGGATTTTCACAGAGGCAACAGTTCATAAAAAGCATGTCCTCTCATATGCTCTAAATAGATAATGTATCTGCAAGTGCCCAGTGCTATCTTTGTAGTACCATTATTTGGTCTAACGCTTAATTGATCAATTTTGAGTGGGGCCTCTCTGATTTAGGAGTACAGACACAGCCATAGGAACCTTGAACTGAAGGGTGTGGATGCATTTCCTGCAAATATGTATCTTATAACTGTGCTAAAACCTGTAGTTTTGACAGCGTTATAGCTGTTGTCTTAACATGCTTGTCACTGCAAGCAGGAGTTGCTCAGAATCTTTTAAAAATGAACAGAAATTACAGATGTCCGGCTGTCAGGGGTTGCACTCGTGGTGAAAAGATACATGGTATGCAAAGGAAGGTGCTCATGCCCATGAAACCAATCATTTGTATATAACACTAAGTCATTTCTCAAGAATATGTTTTTATGTTCCTGCTGGTGCACTCACACAGGACTGTGAAGGATGTTTTACTGCTAATATTAAAATTACTTCCCACAATAACTTTTCCATACAGACAGACACACACATATGTATTTTTTACGGTGATCAGATATTTTCCTGGCTGTATTTTACTTACCATGCACCAAGGTATTTGTAGGTGAAACCAAAGTATCCCAAAGACAAATATTTCTGTAGAAAAAAAATGTTTTAATGCAGTGAGAAGTGTTCTGAAGTATTTTGAACACTTGAAAAGTCATCTGAACCTCAAAAAGATTGCTTCAGGCATAAAAGCACTGTGAACAGACTTCCAGTGATTACTTTTGAGCAGACATCAAGTTACTTTCGTAGTTATACCTACACTGCAAGAACATGCCCTCTACACAATCATTCTACGACTTGTTCTCATAAAGAATTCATATTGAGATTACAATCTTTTGTAGCTGAATTCACCTGAATGTTTGCAGTTTTTGCTATTTCTTGATTAAAACTTAAAGTAAGTGTGAAATGAAGAGCTACGCCCTACGTCTATAAAAATAATTTAAGACAGGCTCATATGAATAAAATAGAACAGAACAGAATATTTCAGTTGGAAGGGACCTACAATGATCATACAGTCCAACTGCCTGACCAATTCAGGGCTGACCAAAACCTAAAGCATGTTATTAGGGGCACTGTCCAAATGCCTCTTCAACACTGACAGGCTTGGGGCATCAACCACCTCTCTAGGAAGCCTGTTCCAGTGTTTGACCACCCTCTCGGTAAAGAAATGCTTCCTGATGTCAAGTCTGAACCTCCCCTGATGCAGCTTTGAACCATTCCCGTATGTCCTGTCACTGGATACCAGGGAGGAGAGATCAGTACCTCCCCTCTCCACTTTTCCTCATATGGAACATGAACAGAGGATTTGTGCTTCCCTATGGAACCTCCTTTAATAGGCACATAGAATTTAGCTGCAAGCATTGCTTTTCTCCCACAAAGAAAGAGAGCGAGCAGAAGTACACACATTGCTCTTAAACTGGTTAAGGAGAATCATTAAAAAAACAGGGAGAGGGCAAGAAGGAGAGAAAACATGGCACCACTTCATTTTTATGTGTTAACACAGCAGTTCTTACCTGTTGTCAGAAGACAATCCTGCTGTGGCTATCAAAGATGATGAACTGATGAAAACAAAGTCATTGGCTGTTTTGTTATGACACTGCCAGGTCTGAAAAATTGCAGTTTAGAAATTATTAATTAAAAAAGAAATGTATTTTGTGTAAGCATGAAATCTTGAACTTCCTCAAAAAGGTGAGCTGTTTCAAAAGCAACTTAAAGAACACAGGATATAAAGATATGTGTATGCCTTCTGATACTCTTAATTTTTCCTAGAAGTATACTTTCCAGTCCTGTGCTATCCACAATTAATTAACAATTGACAATTATTGACAAGTCGCAAAGAATATTGAAGTTATTTCAGATCTAACATTGCATTTTCTACTCTCTAACTTACTAAGTATGATTAGGATTTAAGAACTTGTCTGTCACACAGATCACAGGATGGCAACAATATATTATTAAATCTTGATTAATACTGGTTATCAGCACAATTCCTGCTCTCTTAACTATTCTAAAGGGCAAAGGAAATAAGAGAGCGCAACACAAGCTTACGGCAGCAAATTTAGTTTTCAGCTTACCAAATATGGTTTAGGTGAAGTTCCAGTAAGCGGGCAACATTTCCAATTTGTTTGATATAAACTTATATATCCATCAGCATCAACAATTCCAAACTGAAAAAAGATATTAATTGTAAAAACATATGTATGTATTACAGATAAATTATCCACAATTTGGAGAAACTATATTTGAAGATGTGATGTTTCTGCTAATTTAAAAACACATTGGGGGCAGAGGGGAAAGAGAAGAAGGTAAGTACAGTAACATTCTGTCAGTTACCTTATTTCCTTGGTAATTGAATCTCATTCGAGTTACCCTTGAGTTGCCACCAGACCGAAAACATGTGATTTGCTGTGCATGACCCCATTCAAACATTCTTACACTACCATCTTGAGCACCTGTCAGGTCTGCAACAGAGAATATTTACATAACTTTTCACAGGTGTTGTAGCAACTGAGCAGGAAGGTTTCTTCCAAAATCTTAAGAAATCTCACACCAGCTCACAACATCCTCAAAACAACTAGTGCCACAGTAAGTGCCATAATACCTGGCATACTGTAGGAGTAGTTGGTACCACTGAAACTTAAACTTGTGTTATTCAAACTTTATTGAACTGTACTTACTCATTATTTAATTAAGAACTCTATTTAGATGGTACTGAAATACAAGTTATTTACTCAGAGATAATAATGTATCTTTTTCCTACTCTCTTTCATCCAAGTCACAAATAAAACAGAAATACAGTACTTTTTGGTATGAAAAAATATCACTGTGTCTAAAGGCTATTCTGTATCCCCTTTTTTTTTTTTTTTTTTTTGTAAATGAAAAATAGTTTCAGTAAAATAGGGCTTATAAGCAACTTTTACAACATATACTATGCTAGTACAAAATAGCAACATACTAAGAAACAGGGCCAAAAAGGAAATATATAACCTTTAGATAACTTTTGTCTTTTTTTAACAAAACCAAACTTACAATATGGTAATGTTGGATGAGAAGCCATTCTTCTGACGTTATTAATAGCCTTCTTGAGCATCTGTTTAATATACAAAATAATAGAAAATAATTAAACAATACTACTGAACAAAAAACTTACTGAAGTAGAATAATTAGTAATCACAGAGAGTTGTTTCCTATCAAAATTCCTACTGAAAGCAAGTACTGGGTTTAGAGATTCAGACAGAAGTCAGTTTCTTCCAAGACTAGTGTAGATGTTAATACTCTTGCAGCTTTATACATCTAGGTAAATATTAACTTTTTGCTTCAGAGATTTATGGATCCAAATATAAACACTCCTTAGACTGCAGTCTTACCTCTTTTCTTGCCAATTCCTTTCTGATTCCATTAAATTTATTGGAATATTCCTGAATATTGTAAGATAAGCAAGAGAGAGGCAGAAGCATGGAAAGAAAGAGGTAAACAAACTTTAACAGAAGTAAAAAATAGGAAGGAATATATTTATTTTCAACTCTAGTTAATTTATTGTCATTGACTGAAAAGTGATTATTTGTGGGCATCCAGAATAAGCAATATACTCAGCAACTGGTAAAAAAAAATTCTTCAGAAGAGTTTGTAATTTTGCAAATACACATCCAATGGATTTTTAGCAGCACTTGTGTTCCTAAATTCCAGACTTTGCTTTAAGCAAAACACATGACCAAGAATGCTCTTTTTCTTAGTTGCTTAATTCCTAACTGGGAAGAGTTCAATATATGAAGAGGACTGGAGACATTAGACAATTAAGATAAAACCCCACCATCTAATAAAATCATAAATCCAACCCACAATACCACTATTGGAAAGAAACAGTAGGGATTTTTCATCAGGGAAATGCACTTGTATTTTCCTTGCATGTCTCTTCCCTTCTTTTCTTTCTATTAATGTATGCCAAAGTGAAGTGTTCATTCTTTTATTTCTGATTAGTTCTCCTCAAAAGTGTCTGAATACATTAAGGACTGCCTTTCCTCAGAAAATTGTTGGATTCAGTTTGTTTATGCATGTATTATTTAACTGAACATTTGAGAGAGAAGAAGGCATAAGTTTATATTTGTTCCAGGTGTTAACTTCAAATGATAACATGAAAGTTTGTTGCCAGAGCACTTACTTTCAACACAGCAGCTTACCACTTCTACACATGAATAGCAAGCTGGCACTGAACTACTTTCACAGAATCATTTAGGTTGCAAAAGACCTTTAAGATCATCAAGTCCAACCGTGACTTTCAACTGCTATGATTTTGTATAGTATTCTGCCACTGCTTTGTCTCTGAAACAGTAGATAGCGAATCAAGTATTTTAAATATGCTACTCTCCCCAGGCCTCCAATCATGTCAGGGTGTCAACTAGAAGAACGTATGAATTACAAATTTTTACTTAGAATCATGTTCATGCTCTTGCTTCACGTTACTAAATGTGATCCAAAGAGTTCAAAAGCAATGTTCTCCACATTTTCAGTTTGCAAACAAAAAGGAGGAAAAACACTTGGAAGGGAAATAATTGATTTTCTTGCTAAAATTTCCTGGGGTTTGGATTAGCAGAGGAATTGCAATCCTCTTAATTACATTTTGGAAGCAGATTTAGATCTTTCAATTCTCAAAGCTTTATTATTTGTTGAAGAGAAAGCCTTATGCTTCTTGGTTACCCAAGTTTATTTCAAAACACTTTCCTGAAGACAAAAAATAAGATTTTTCAAATACATATTTTCCTTTTTTTCATGTAAGTACTTTAAATGACAAGGGAAAAAGCTCAATGGTTTGGTAAAACACTGGTGAATAGAACAATATATACATTATAAGATTTAGGACAAGACAACAGAGGATGATATTCTTCAAACATTAATGCATATACCAATCAGTAAATAATTGCAACACTTAGGTCTCTAAACTTACAATTTATCTCTATGTGTAAGTGAAAGAAAAATTATTCATGTTCATTCTATTTCTTCACCAAAATGAAGGGCTGTGTTAAGTTTTCTGGCTACTAACTTTTACCCAGAAGTCAGTGGAAATCATATTCCTTCATTCAACAGATAAGCATGCATCATGATCTCCTGACGCCTACTGGATTATGCTTTGGAAAAATGCACTCTTACAGAAACATGCTTTTGAAAGACTACGCTAACATAAATTTCTGGTGCACCATCTCTGATTTAGAAGCCAAGTATCATTATCAAATGCAAATACTTTCATTACCAATGTAACTGACATTTGATTCTGTCAGTTCCCCCTTAACAACAGCTGATGGCTAGAACACTGATTGCTTTGTTGGAGAGTTGGGTGCTTTGAGCCTAATATGCAGTAGGACTGAAGAATATAAAAGCTTAAAATCTGACCCATCAGTTATTAAACTGGTGAATATTGGTGTCAGTTGTACTGGTTTGGCAGACAAGCTGTTGAACATTACCTGAGTTTCAAAGCTGAGAGTATGCACTATTTACTTCAGTGCTCTCTTAGAAACACCTCCTGTAAGAACTGTGTAAATACAGTGTACTGAAGGATCTGCTGGTGAGCCTCCTTACTTACCTTGTATGAACTGCGTAACAGGAAAAAGTGAAGAGTAACAAAAAAACCTCAGAGCTAATAAAACGTTAACTGCCTGAGTACCGCAAGTCCAATAGTTTCACTTGTTGATGGAAGTGAAGCAAAGACCACAAGACTGAAAAGCCGGTAATGGTAAAGAACAGTGGGCTCTATCTACTAAATGGGCTGCAAATTATGGAAAAGCAAAGATGGGAACAAGGATCGAAAGCAGTATCTGAAGGAACAAAGTAACAAATAGCTGCGACAAAGATTCGGTGAAGCTGGTTTTACTCCAGATTTGAGTCCTTCCACAGTAACACTATTCCCAAGAAGCCCTCTATCTTCCTTCATTTACTTTGTCCTTCATTCAGTACCTTTGTCTCCCCTCCCTAGTGGGCAGGTGTCGTTGTGGTTGGTTCTCTACTCTGCCACAGTCAAACAGTATCGCAAACAAAATTTAGGTCCAAAGTTTAACAGCAAACGCATTCAACACAAGCATAGCCATATATCTTCAGGTAAGACAGTTTTACTACATATAAAATAGAAAGTCATGTAAGAATAGTTTACAATAATAGATTATGTAATTACTTTGTTGAGAAATACACAAACACACTCAAAATCTATATATATGTATATATCTATATAAATGGAAGTGAGAGGAGAAAGTGGCAAAGTCATTCAAAGAATTCTTGCAGAAGAGACCTGATTGTGATACCAGAGCTGCAAAACAGGCAACTAGGATCAGCAGTTCCTACACAGAAAGGACAGGTGTAGGTACTGGCACAAGTGATAATGGGTATTACTTCCACATGTGGATAACATTATCATTCTTATAATGCTCATTCCTTATTTACTCCTCCTAACCATCCAATATTTTCAAAAACCAACTACAATATAAATTAACATGTGGCTCTTTCATTCTGCCACCACTTATGGACTTGCTCTGAGCTATTAAATACCACAAAGTGCAGTCAAGTCACAAGACTTAATGCATTCAGTTATCCAGGAAAACCCCACATCTATGTGCAGGCAGGTTAAGAGATACATGTGTCTTGTATAAGTGTTTCAGTCCAGTTAAGTGGGTCCGAAGCTAAACATCTCCCAGCTAAACGAATCAAGAGATCTGCATTATTAGAGAGCATCTACACTTCATAGGAACTAAGGTAAGTATGTTAATGGCCAGACTAGAATTATCATTTGATCTGAATTAAATTTGAGCTAATAGCTCAAATAGCTCAGGGCCAAGCTTCATTCCAACAGAATCTATCTCTAAAAGTAAGAGCCACCCTTGTGCAGGTGTCACCTCTATGATCAGAAGGATCAATTTGCTCATGTGGACCTAGTTACACTTTACTGGGGGTCTCTCACTCTAGTGTATTTCAGAAATGCTGAACAGTGAAACTGATCATCTCTGCTAAAACATGATCTTCAGAGGTGAGATATTTAATGATGCTACTAAGCAGAGTTATGGCAAAACTGTGCAGCACTTCAGAGATGACAGAGCTGAAAACAGCTTTGGAGAGAAACAGTCATGCATCAGCATGACGTATAGTTCAAACTATACATGACATTTGTAGCTGGTCCTATTTCTGCAGTACCGCCTTCCTCATTTTTCTTATGAAATCAAGAATCCCTATTTTTCCCAAGTTTAAGTTACTCAGTTTCCAGCGTTTAATTCATTTCACCTGAAGGCTCTGTCCTGCCAGTGAAATCTGCTTTAAGAGTTCATTTGCTGCCCGTTCTATAATACAGGCTCATACTAATATACAGTGCACTACAATAGTACTTTGTACAAGAGCAGAAGTTGGTATTTACTTTTACATAAAAGCTGGAATAGTCTGGAACTCAGAATGGAACTTAAGATTATGCTTAAAATAAAAGTTACCTCAATATTTCACACAAATATTTCTACGCAATCTTTATGAATTTATATCCTGAAATCTCCTGAATATATACTCTTTAGATACAGCATTTGGCTTCAAGTCATAAAAGAACAATTTAAACTGCAACTTCTTAGTTGAACCCTGATTCTTTATTTTTAAACTATGTATCTTAAGTATAGAAAGCGTATATGGCTTGACTAAAAACTTTGCTTGCTTAGTTGGTGTGTCCTAAATTCTGTGCAGTATTTTAAGCTATTAATTGAATGATTATAAAAAAATTTCAGCTTGCCTTGACTACACAGAAAAATTACATTTACTTACATGCTAATTGTAAAATATGACCAGTAACAGACAAAAGGAGAGAAGCAGACAGAGTACATAAGGTTAATCTTTGACAAGCGACTTACCACAGATGCACCCCTGCCAGTTTGTGTACTACCAAGCCAAGGCATATTGATAGGTGTGCCGGGATTACTGTGAGTATAAGGAGTGGTTCCCTGAACATTTACCAGATCATCTCGAGCATGTATAACTAAGAAATCATCAGCCCTATAAATGAAACAACATTGTAAGTTAGATTTCAAACAACAACACTAAATACCATGCTTTATTACACTGATTTATACACAGTCAAGCTGTGATACTGGAAACAGAAAGTATACCCTTTATTTTCTATTTCCACATCATCATCAACCCAGGTATAGATTTGTGTGGCTAAAATCGCAGAAACATCTAATTCTTGAATGTCATGACTCGATGCTATTGCAATGCAGTTCCGATTTGCCTGAAAAAAAGTAAGACACACAAAGGCAGGTACAAAAGGAATACTCAAAAATGTGCTTTTTTTTTTATTTTCTCTGGTTATGGTACAGTTGTTCAAAAAATATACACTTAATCAATTCACAAAATCCGAACATTTTTGTCTATAAATATATATACTTAAACTGTCTAAACTTGACATTTCCCTTTTAAAAGTTTATCTGCATCTGGGATAGCATCAAACACTATTTGTATTTTATACCTCTCTCAAGGAGCTCTAGTTTCTCCTTGCTTTCCTCAGAAGATAAACAAGAGGTAACTATACTACAATGCTTGCAACCAAGCTCCCCTCCTCCACTTAAGGCTTAAATAGTTAAACAGGAGAAGAAAAGATGACTTCCTGGCTGTCTTTAACAGAGAAGGAAAAAAATACTCCTACGCACAAGCTTAAAGAAAAAGTAGAGGCCACCTTTCCCTTCCCTAAATCCATTGCACAATAGAAAAAAAGACATTTTGTAGTAGAACTGTTTAATTATGAAAAGACAATTCTGAAGTGCTTTAGAGAAGGAAGCGCTGAGTTCAAGCTGCAGCAGGATGGCTGGCAAAGGATATCTCACTCATTCATAATGGGACTACTGCCTGTTTATCAGGCGGAAGTACAACAAAATTAGATTATTCTACCTCTTTTATACTCACCTTATTGACTGCAAAAGCAGTAATGATGTCAGACTCTTTATGGATTATTCTTGCCTTGCCTCCTGGGTATCCCAAATCTGTTTCTATCTGTATTTAAAAAGTAAAGCATATTTAAATGCAAACTTCTATGGAACACTGCTTTTTACTGGAAGTACAGAGACCAAACATTGGATCGTATGAAATTTCATGTTTGTGTTTTTTTTTTTCCCCTCTCTATTTTAATTCTAAGAAAATATGACAAATATAACCTGTAATAATTACAGTAAACCTGTTTCATGTGTAATAATCTAGCTTCCCACTGTCACACTGAGGTTACCACAGCAACACAGAAAGCATAATTTGTCACAGAATTCACAGTACTGTGCTCATTCTCAAGTTCTCAGGGATGCTGAACACCAGCGAGGCTACATGCACACTTGGGGGTGTTGATAATAAGAAAATTGAGTCTTGATGTTTTGTTCTTAAAAAATTTTGCTAAATGTTTTCTTGCTCTTAGCAAACACTTTCTGCCACTGAAACTGATGAAATAGTCCAACAGAAGGTGCAGACAAGATCCTGAGCAGGAAAATAAATTTGAACTTTGTCAGCTTATCTGTTCACCATTCTCCACCATCAAATAAATCTGGAATCCTGCACATTCCAGTACCACAAACTTTTTACTATCATATTTTTATTTTTTCTTTTTTCTTAATGCGATCTAATGTTATATTTGAATCTTGTCTACCTTTTTGTATTTTAGAAATGCATCCAGCTATATGCCAGCACACAAAATTCTGGACTCTACCAGCACTGTAGTACTCCTGTTCAGAATTAAAGAGCTCAGCATTGCAAGTATTAAACTGATAGACTACAGACTCCAGTCTCTTGTAGTTACAAATTAATTTTACAGTAAAAAAGGGCATTGCCAAACAAATGGTGACATAAAAATTCAAACCTCAATTACAAATGTAAAATTCTGTATTTTCTTCAAAACACAAAGAATTATTTCAGAACTATTGTTTCCCAGCCTCTCCCCTTCAATTTCTTAATTCTCTGGTCTTCCAAAGATTTAAACAAGGATATTTTAGTTGAAAAACAGTAAGATGATGCTGTCAAATAACTGCAAACAGTCTTTTTAAAAGTCTGAAAAAAGACTGTAGCTGTTATACAGCACAGAGTAGAATACCTTTTTTAATATTAAAACAAAACTGATACTCAGATGACCTTATGTATGTAAGACTGCACAAAGCTGCAGTGACAAACAGATACAGAAACATGATCAGTGTTGTATGGTAAACAAACCCACATGAAATTAAGATTATTTTTTCCCCGGTCAGTTCCAATTACCTACTAGCTAATACTGCGTTATTGCATAATTAATAACAACAAGGTACCCCAAGGACATAGGATGTTCTCATTTCTGTCTTCTCACTAGTTTTGCAAAAGACCACCTGAAGAATACAGTATTTGTTTGCATTTCTAGGCATAGTGTCATACTTCTTAGTCTCTCATACCAATTTTTCAAGAAAGTTGGTATAAAGTTGTTATATGGGTTCACTTGTCACCATCTTAAAACTAAGGCTTAGCGAAAATTTTTGGTAGCAAACTAGTATCATGCTAGCAAACTGCTCTAACTTCAGTTAACCACCTTCATTTACAGGCAGCTATTCTAGCCATCTCATACTGGTGAAAGCTCCTGTAGGTACTATGTTCCCACAGTACTACTGAATTTTTGTCACTTGAGCAAATCTCAACCTCAGCTCTTCATTTGGCATAGCTATGGAATTTGATAATACATATTGTTCTTACCTGATTGTTTAATCCAGCTAAGATACATTTGGTTTCAGATAGGCCCTAACACAAGTCTACTTTAACTCAATCTCTTGCAAAATAGAACGTTTAAGTTTATTTGCTATGTCAGCAAAGATTTTTTTTTAAGGGAGATCAGCACCACTTCAAAAAGGAACTATTTCATAATGATGTAAGGTCTAATTAATTTGAGCATTACTACTGTGTACCTTATTGATGATGGGCTCCTCCACCACAGAATTTTTCACGGTTTCATTGTGCTCCTCTAATGACTTCACCAAGGAAAGCACAACCACAGAACAAAGAATAAAGATAAGATATAACATGCAAGGTATCAAGGAAATCCTTAAGTCCTTGTTGTTTACCCCAACACAGAACAATTGAAACACAACAGTACATTTGCATACACACACACATACATATGTGTTTTATACAGTAACAGTAATTATCAAATTCTAAACTCAATATTCAGTACAGAAGACACTGATTTATTTATTCTATACTGTAACAGCATCTTGTCCATCTCAAAAGTCGTATTTCTTGGAAAATAAGCCATCTCCACTGACATTTTGCCAGTAACAAGAGGATACAAAATAAAGCCAATATACCTATGCTGTGTAAGGCTGTCAATAGTCCTGCTTGGAAACCTATGAAGCCCACCTAAAATATTCCAAAATACCTTTCCATATAGCATAGCAGCACGGCCGCATTAACATAAGACATGATCAGAAATGGTGCATCTTCAAAGGACAAGACCAAAGAAAATTTTCCTTTTAATTGCAGTCTGTAGTGAACAGCCAGCCACAAATACTCAAACAAGCTAAAATTCTAGTTGTGACAAGACAAAGATTAGCTCATACAGAACTCTTTGCTGCCATGGCTTTGCCAGTCATGAATACTCTTTTTCTCCTGAATGTTTAATTTGTTTGGATCTGCTTCTTTCTCCTATGTTTCTCCTACTCCATAGGTTTTTCTATAATACACGTGATTCTTTCAAATTATTGGGAGTAGGGTTCAGTGACAAAGAAAAGGAGCAATATATAGTCAAAGACTGATTATTTTTTAGAATATTCAAAGAAACAATGGACAAAGATTTTTTAATATGAAATACTGTAGATTTAGAGTCATAGCCAAGTATATTATACACTCATGCTCTAGAAAGCCAAATAACTTAAGTAAAAGCTCATAGATTGAGCTGCAACATTTTATGCATTTTACATACCATACCAACCTCATTCAGGCATCGCTTCTTTGTAAAAATATTTCTGATAAAGGTTTCCTGGACTTCTTCCTGTTTAACTAAGTACTGCCAGAGCCTTTTCACAGATAGTGCAACATGACTGTTAGATCTACAGAATAAAGTTAAAATAAAAATTTACATCATGCTCATACTTATAGGAGACAGCAATACCTTATATAATAATCAAACTATAGTCAGAAGAAATGCGGAAGAAAAAGTACAGCTCTCTAAACAAGAGCTATTCAGAAGCATTCTGGTACCATCTTCCTGACAAACCTATGTGTGAGAGGAGGTGCAAAAGAAAGAAAGAAAAGAACAAGTAGCATTTTCACCTCTGATCTTGGGACATGTGAGAAAAATCTCTTTAAGAGATTACACAACAATAAGGTCAGTATACAGATTATTTATTAGTCCACCTCATGCTTTACAACATGGATCATTTCTGTTTATTGCTGTCCTGGTTTCAGCTGGGATAGAGTTAGTTTTCTTCTTAGTAGCTGGTAGAGCGCTGTGTTTTGTGTTTAGGATGAGAATGACATTGATAACACACTGATGTTTTGGTTCTTGCTGAGCAGAGTTTACACTAGTCAAGGACTTTTCAGCTTCTTGTGCTCTGCCAGGTGCATAAGAAGCGGGGAGGGAGCATAGCTAGGACAGCTGACCCAGACTGGCCAAAGGCCTATTCCATACCATATGACATCATGCTCAGTATATAAGCTTGGGAAAGGAGAAGTAAGGGGGGGACATTGGGCGTGATGGCGTTTGTCTTCCCAAGTAACCGTTACGTGTGATGGAGCCCTGCTTTCCTGAGGATGGCTGAACACCTGCCTGCCCATGGGAAGTAGTGAATGAATTCCTTGCTTTGCTTTCCTTGCGCGCACGGCTTTTGCTTTACCCATTAAACCGTCTTTATCTCAACCCATGAGTTTTCTCACTTTTACTCTTC